TTTTTACTAACAAACTTGATTCAACTAAAAATATTATCAGACATCACATAAACTAAATAGAAAATCTATATACAGAGGGAATGATATAAACATACATTCCAAATCTAAAATTCTCCCCCATTTTGAAATTAAAATAAAAAACTAAAGGGAAATTTCAAAATAACATTATAAATTTCACTCGAAACCATAACGATGNCCCAAATCTTGAGTAACTCAATCGAAAGTGCGGATTCAATCAATGGGAAAAGCATCGCAGCATACTTTTCAGTTGTCACACCTAATGACTCGTAATTGAGTCTCCAATATATCGTATAAAGATGATAATGACACACCTGACTTATTTTTGTTTACCTGGCGAAGAACTAGGTTCAGCAACTCTCTCACATAAACCACAATCAGAAATTCGTCTCTAGCGAACCGTATTTTCAACTGGTCAAGTGCTTTTTTGTAGTTTGCGCCGGATGGAGAAACACTTTCCACAAGTTCTCGTGCTGGTGATCCCTATTCCATTGTCTGCACCAAATACTGAAACTTGTCTTCTAAATCGATGTCTTCATCCTGGTCTATCTTTCTAAACTGTCCCCAGAACCCGATCCAGCTTTTCACATTTTCGTCGAATTTGGTCAGCTCTAACTTTGGCAATCGAAATTTTCGATAAATTTTTTCACCATAAGTGAAACTGGTTCCACAATGAACTGGTTCCACAATCTGCTCGCATTTGGTTATCTGCCAATCGGTTTTCACATTCAGATTTATATTTGATTATTTCAGCTCTATAAAACTCCATATCGTCGAATTCTTGTTGAACTTCGGCATCGTTGAAATTTCCGGAAAATAACTGCTCCTTGAAGTTCTCATCAATAGTGAATATGCGATCACTCTTGTCTTCCAATTATCTCAAGAGTGATAGTATTTGTGCCTTACTCGTTTGCTGCTTCGTATTCAAGGCTACATCTAGGTCGCTGCTAGTATTGCGAAAATATCTTCGAAGCTGCTCTCTTTCTTTTTGCATAATATCCATCGTCAATAACTTAGTCCTGTCACGGTCGCCAATATTTTAAATATGGAATGGATATAATTTTATTATCAAATAAAGTCTCACTGGCGTTTTCAAATTCTATTCATTTGACAACTCTGTCATCTGACAACAACTCTAATCAAAATCTTTTTTCTAACAAACTTGATTCAACTAAAAATATTATCAGACATCACATAAACTAAATAGAAAATCTATATACAGAGGAAATGATAAAAACATACATTCTAAATATAACACAAGGGTTTTCCTTGTGCATGCAAGATCTCAAAACTATTTTGAGCGATGTTTATTTGAAGAAAGGAGAACTTGCAGCGTTATTGAATCATATGGAAGATAGGGGTCAAAGGGTTATTGTGTTGGATGAAAAAATTTAACCATAACTATTCAAAACAAACGCGGCGATAAAAAAATTGAACAGGAGTTAACATGATTAGGATTTAAAAGTTTAGAAACAAGATATCCAAATGAAAGACGGAAAAAGTAAAAAAGGCAGAGTGAAGTAATTGAATTTTTCAAAAATGGTGTTAGTTGAATGATGATGGAAGATATGAAGTGTGTTTACCGTGGTTGCTACGTAAACCTGAGTTATTCAGTAACAGAAAACTTTCTGTTACTGAAAAAATATTAGTGGAAAGCTGAATGATAGTAATCGAACGTGTGATTATGAGAGGTTTTTAACAGAATGGGAACAAGAAGGTTTCACCAAGAAAGTTCCAGAAGTCGAATGAAATGCTGTTTCTCATTATCCATCCAGTCTTCGAGGAGGCAAGTGTCACCACAAAGGTAAGACCGGTGTTTGACGCTTTGGCCTGAGACGAAATGGGTCGTTTTTTGAGTCAGTGTTTCGAAAGAGATCCCAATTTGATTGAATTGATTCCGTCCATTTTGTTGCAGTTCAGAATTCTATTGGTATATTGGATATATGTCACCAGAATGCCTAGTTGGGAAAACAGAGTAACATATTGTAAAATATCTTAAATAAGGCCAAAATTTGAGTGAGCGTTTGGATAAGATAAACGGTGTTACATCCGCTGATAATACAACCCAAGGGTATTTGCCTCCCTATTAGTAAGAGGATGTGTTAATTGGGTATATACAAAGATATTATTTTGCCTACAAGAATAACACCCTGTGGCTCCAAGTTCCTGTTAGTCGATTCTCATTTGCATGTTTCGCAGATGTGTAAAAGACATCGATTTCCTCATAAAATTGTTCAGGCATTAGGATTAAGACAACATTGATGCTGTGAAAGAATTGATGAAAACCATTGAGAGTTGGTAAAACGAGAGGTTGAAAACGGAAATATGAAACAAAATTGAATTATCGGCAAACATCCTGTATTCATGAATGCTATCGAATATGACATCACCTTTTGACGCTTGTCAAAGAAAACATACTTGTTTTTGATTGATGCGTTCTTCACAGGTGAATGTATTGGGTATTGAGTTTTCATAGGAAAACGAAAAGAAATCCAATAAACAAATTGAAGCTATGTATTAAAATGTTTGGTAAATCATCATTTGAGATTTTAGTATTTCATCTCAACAGACAAGTTTATAATTTATTTCAATTTTTGTAGAAGTGCATACTCACATTCAGAATTGAATTTGAAAATGACATGAGAATGATAATCACTAGGTTAGTATTTTCAACTTTTTCAACTCGAAGATATGACAGATATCAATGATTGTTTTCATAAAGATCAATATTCGGTCGGTTCGTCGTGTTGGTCGGTGGTTCAAGTTAAAGTTCCATCGATTTTCATATTCTGTCATCCAACTCGTATTAGGATTCACACTTTAAAAGGTAAGACCTCGTTAGTCCTCAGCTCGCACAAGTTTCGACTTCTGAGTGTTGTCGTTCGTAGGGGTGCGACAGCTGGTTGACGAAAAAACAGATTTTTTTGCAAACAAACAGTGATCATATCAAAGTTTGGAAGTAGAAGAAAGTTATGTTTAGTATTAGTTGGGGTAGCAGCTGTTGCTGTTATCATAAAGCTGCTCAATGAGTAGCATATGGTTGATTGAATTCAACAGTCAAATTCAAATAAAGTGAATTGATTTATAAATAAGTCAATCTTTTGTGGAATCATAAATTCAATTTATGACTCCACACAGAAAAATGTTTTCATGCACTTGTCTATCGATTTATAAGAAAATCGTTTTACAAACTATAAATATAGTCAAATTATATAAAAGAACAATTCGTTCAGGCCAGTCTCAACTTACCTATACTGTATGGTAATAGACTGATACCTATCAGAAAACATCTACTCGTCTGGCTAATACCACAAAAGGCGTTTTATTATATCCGACAGGTGTCAGTGCAGGATTCTTCACTCAAGTTATTTCTGCATATGCTGTTGACGATACAACTGAGACTGGCCTGAATGAAATTGTTTTTTCAGATAATTTGATTTACAGTAGGTACGCCCCCTCAATTTGTGAAGTTTTCTTCCTCATACGAAGAATTGGAAAAATGTCGGATATGCGGTTGGTTACCTCGTTCACGGGCAGATGGGGCGATGACAAACCTGTTGTTTGTTGTTCGCTTCAGCCCAGTTTGAGGAATGATACTCTGAGGGAATTCAATTTTCAATTGTTGGAAATCATCGACTTTATGTTGATAAATTACACTACCTCTCGCTGGCGAGTGACCAAACAGCCCGAAACCGGTCACAAGTGTTCCAATGATTTGAAATCTTTTGCGACAATTGTATCGCCAACAGCATATGCAGAAATAACTTCAGTGAAGAATACTGCACTGATACCTGTCGGATATAATCCAACGTTCTTCGTGGTACTAGCCAGGGGGATAGTTGACTTCTGATAGGTGTCAGTCCATTAACCTACAGTGTAGGTGAGTTGGGACTGGCCTGAAAGAATTGTTTTTCAAGATTATTTAATTTTCAGCCAGTCTTCAACTATGCCCACTCAATTTGTGATAAATATAGTCGACCAAAAATTCACCCATATCAACAGTAGTATTTTTTTCAACAAACGTTTGAGGTAGTTTTTGAAATTACAAAACTTTTTCGTTTATGAATTGAATCAAATGAATCAGACACTGAATATCTACATTAATAAATATTGATTTTCAGCACCCTTCTATTCAACAAATAAATAGTTATTATTCAGGAAAGTTTCAACTTGTTTTTATTCGATTGTTGAATTTTACTATCCAGATACTTTACTGATACGAGGAGCTTGCCAGTAGAAGTCACAATCAAATTTTCTGAAAATAACGTTTTTTACACCAAATCTTATACCATCATTTTCTTGGTTTGATTTATTTCAATCAATTCTTAATATGATTCACCATGAATGATTATCCATTACATTTTCGGCCGCGACGTATATCGCGTAGACATCAGTTTTTAGATTTCATCAGATTTCCAAACTGCAACCTGCAAATTGGAACCCAAAACGATTACTTTTTAAAATATTTTTGTTCGTTTGAGCGCTTTCATCTCAAATACAGCTCATCGGGTTTGAAATGAAAGTCATTTCAGTTCATAAAATGACGTTGAATTTCTGTTGTGAGAAATATTATAAAAATATCATTCAGTGAATTTGAATGAGATATTGGTTACCTATATTGATAGTTAGCAAAACTATTTGCTTATAAGTGAAAATTTGCAAGTTGTGAAAAACCAAAAACAAAAGTTCTCACGAACGAAGTCACAGCTGGTCATAAATAATTTTCATTAAGATTAGGATGATTCATTTTGGATTTGGATATATAATTGTAGCCCACCAAGACAATTCACCAACTTATTGGCTTAATTCACACCAAATATCAAACAACTTGAAGCTTAAAGTGAGTCTTCAACGGGGATTTTTGATAAGAGCCTGAAATCCTTTGATAACCCCAGAAATGACAAGCGTACTAAGTGAATATCCGATTTTCTTCCATAAATCCGTAATGATCTCATCTAATTCCGACTTCATTATTGTTACAGACCGGCAAGCACTTTCATCGCACATCACTCCTCATCAAAGCCTTCAACCACAAATTTCGTCTGGATCTCGAGCTGAACACGTAAGTTAAACAACTTCAAATTTATTAGGTTGGGAGCAAACTTTAACGGATATATTAGTTGAATCACTGAGTGCTTTGGGTTCCTAGATACGTTTGGAAATACTACGTAGGATTTATGTTCGATAAATTACGAATATGGATATATTTTCCTACATCAAGCGATACAGTAATTCATTTTCGAAGTCATAAATAGTGTGACTAAAAAAAATTTACTCGGTCCATTGCTCTGAAGTAAATCAATGACTTGTTCATATCTTTGTTTCGGGCATTCTGGTTGCCTATTTTCCACATTAACATTGACGTAGGGTTTTTAGGGACATCTTTTCATTCCTCATTTCCTTTTTGATTTTGATTTTTGTTTGTGGCATTGTTAGTTATTCAATGAAAACATACTCTGTAGACTTTTTTTGGGAAAAAAACCTCTATATGTATTGAGTAAAATCTTCCCAAAACTAGTTATTCAAGATAATATTAAGGGTGCTGGATGGAACATTAGAGATTTCATCCTGCATTCGAACAGTATTTTTTTTCCAATGGAACATGATGATATCTTTTCATCTGCATGCAGTATTTACTCTTTTCAAAAGCAGATATATACTCGTAACACATGTGAGATTATTTTTTCAAACTATGCCCGTGTTATGAATCATATGTTGAAAGTTAAGACCTTCTTAGTCCTTAGCTCGCACAAGTTTCGACTTCTGAGGGTTGTCGTTCATAGGGGCGTGACAGCTGGTTAATGGAAAAATATATTCGAAACATATTTTTAAACATACAGTGTATCTCACTCCTCACGTGAACACTCCCATATCTTCCGTAATAAGTGATATACACTACCCGTTANTTGTTCCATGGCGAGTGACGGGCAGTATATCATTTTGGCCAACCCCATCTAGATTGTTTGTGCATTTTGAACATTTTCAAGAGTCCTGAGAGTTTCATAATTCTTCCTCGATGATTACGAAAGATACGGGGGTGTTACCACATGATAGTAGGTATCACATAAGCACCCATTTTGAAAATGAGAAAAAACTCAACGTAGATGAAAATGAACTGTTGTTTTGATGAGATATGGTGAATTCTGATAGTAATCATACAGTGTCACCATTAAAGTGCGCACCATATGGGAAACTTTTTTTTTTTTCGGAAAGTTTTAATGAAGTTTAACTTCGGCACTTGTTTGTGCTTTAAATTTGACTTAAAATGATGCGGCCAACTGCGACCCACTAACGTTCAGTTTTGTCAAATTCAACTTTTTTTTTGAAACAAATTGAAAAAGTGCATTTCTAGATCGAATTTAACAAAAAGTTACTTGAAAAAGTTGTGTCTACGGCAGTTTTATATCCATATGCCAAATTTTATGCAACTAGGATAAAGTTAACGTTTGCTTATTTTTGACAGATATCCTTTATTTTAAAAAACAAGTTCGATTAATTGTCATCAATTCA